GGGAATATGGGAATGGGAATTGGGGCAGGAGAAAGGTCAGGGACGGGAAGGTGGGGTGGCAATTTGGGAATGGGAATATGGGACAGGGTGGGAATTGGGGTGGGAGAAAGTCAGGTCAGGGACGGGAATGGGGTGGGAATTTGGGAATGGGAATATGGGAATTGGGGTGGGAATTGGGGCAGGAGAAAGTCAGGTCAGGGACAGGAATGGGGTGGGAATATGGGAATGGGAATATGGGACGGGAATTTGGGAATTGGGGCAGGGGAAAGTCAAGTCAGGGAATTTGGGATGGGAATATGGGAATGGGAATGTGGGAATGGGAATATGGGAATGGGAATTGGGGCAGGAGAAAGTCAGGTCAGGGACGGGAAGGTGGGATGGGAATATGGGAATTCAGGGTCGGAATTGGGGCAGGAGAAAGTCAGGTCAGGGAATTTGGAATGGGAATGTGGGAATGGGAATTGGGGCAGGAGAAAGTCAGGTCAGGGACGGGAATGTGGGATGGGAATTGGGGTGGGAATTTGGGAATTCAGGATGGGAATTGGGGTGGGAATTTGGGGCAGGAATTTGGGGTGGCAATTTGGGATGGGAACTCGGGATGGGAATTGGGGTGGGAATTTGGGACGGGAATTCTGGGATTTCCAACCCCCAAATTCCTCCTGGGAATAGCAGAAAAATCCCCTCCCCTCGAGGAATTTTGGGTGTGGAATTTTGGCAATTCCACCTTCAATTCCAGGAGAATCCATTCCCTGTCCTTTGAGTAACAATTCCAGAACATTCCCAAAGCTTTTCCTTGCCCGGGAGACCCCAAAAAATCCCGTTTTTCCCAGTTTTTCCCGTTTTTTTACCCTCAGGAGAATCCGGGAAGCGTCTCCCTACGGCCACCTCCCGTCCTGGCGCCTCCTGTCCGTCATTGTCAAATGCGGTGACGACCTCCGGCAGGAGCTCCTGGCCTTCCAGGTGCTCAAACAGCTCCAGGTSAGSCTGATCCCAAAAARAAATYGGGAATTTTTRTGGGATTTTATGGRATTTTAATGGCATTTAAATCAGATTTATTGGGATTGTAATTGGATTTTTATTGGGATTTAATGGGGCGACCTCCGGCAGGAGCTCCTGGCATTCCAGGTGCTCAAACAGCTCCAGGTGAGCCTGATCCCAAAAAAAAATTGGGAATTTTTGTGGGATTTTATGGGCTTTTAATGGCATTTAAATCAGATTTATTGGGATTGTAATTGGATTTTTATTGGGATTTAATGGGGCGACCTCCGGCAGGAGCTCCTGGCCTTCCAGGTGCTCAAACAGCTCCAGGTCAGGCTGATCCCAAAAAAAATCAGGAATTTTTGTGGGACTTTATGGGATTTTAAGGGATTTAATGGGATTTGATGGGATTTCACAGGATTTAATGGGATTTCACATGATTTTAACGGGATTTTCTGTGATTTAATGTGGTTTTCTGTGATTTTAACGGGATTTTTTGTGTTTTTTTGGTAATTTTATGTGATTTTGTGGTGATTCTAGTGGGATTTTTGTGATTTTAATGTGATTTTAATGTGATTTTCTGTAATTTTAATGGGATTTTTTGTGATTGTTGATGATTTTAGCAGGATTTTTTGTGATTTTAGCGGGATTTTTTGTGCGTTTCTGTGATGTTCTGTGATTTTAATGGGATTTTTTTTTATATTTTTGGTGATTTTATGTGATTTTTGGTCATTTTAGCGGGATTTTTTGTGATTTTAACGTGATTTTTTGTGATTTTAGTGGGATTTTTGTGATTTTAGCGGGATTTTTGTGATTTTAGCGGGTCTTTTTGTGATTTTAGCAGGATTTTTTGTGATTTTAGCGGGACTTTTTGTGATTTTAGCAGGATTTTTGTGATTTTAGCAGGATTTTTGTGATT